ACAGTACGAAGATTGGGAGGTTTTCCCCTTTCTCCGCAAAATCTCGAATATTGAAACTGTTACAGTTCGCTGCAAAACAAACAACCGACTTTTTTTTGGGGGGGGAGGGTCACTTTCCAATCTGGATTGAGTAGGACTAAAAGTTCTACGGTCTATCAACCCAAGCGAAGAATGATTCTGTTCCGGAAATTTAACGCCGTCTGTTGAAAATTAGAATGAAAAACACCCCAGTTATTTACGAGGCGCATTCGGAAACTAAGTACCGTTTTGAAAAAAACAAATAGTAAAACAATTTTTTCGAATCCAATTTTATTTTTACAGGAAAATACATGTCTTAAACTATTTTTCAACATAGTTTCCGCCAATGATCAAACACTTGTCATAGCGGGTGACCAGTTTTTGTATACCATCGTCAAAGAAACTTCCCGCCAGTTTCGATAACCACGACTCCACAGCATTTTTCGTGTCATCGTCAGATCCAAAGCGCTTGCCACCAAGCTCGCGTTTCATGTGCAGGAACAAGTGATAGTGCAGAACGGCGCCAAGTCCGGGCTTTACGGCGGGTGATCGAACTGCTCCCAATGAAACTGTCGAGTTAACGATTGAGTGACACCAGCAGTATGGGGCCGAGCATTGTCATGGAGCAACACAATTCCTTTACTGAGCATTCCTCTTCATTTGTTTTGAATGGCACACCTTAGTTTTGTTAAAATCTCACAATATCGTGCCGCATTGATAGTTTCACCTCTGGGAAGAAATTCAGTAAGCAAAATGCCTTTCCTGTCCCAGAAGACAGTGCACATGATTTTTTGTGATGACATTGTCACTTTGAACTTTTGTTTTTTCGGAGAATGAGTGTGTCTCCACTCCATCGATTGTTGTTTCGATTCTGGTGTGAAATGACACACCCGAGTTTCATCACCTATCACAATTTGGTTTAAAAAGTTTCTCCCTCATCACTGTACCGCGTGAGAAATGTCAGGGCACTACCAAGTCACTTTGTTTTGTGAACATCAGTGAGCATTTTTGGAACCCATCGGGAATACAGTTTGTGATAATTCAAACGGTCAGACAGTACGGGAAATTTGTGGAAATGCCTCTGAAAGAGTTGTCATTGTGAAGCGTCTGTTCTCAGGAATTGTTTCATCAACTTTCCTTACCAAATCATCGGTGACAACAGAAGGCCGACCACTCTGAGCCTCGGCATGGACATTTGTTCGACCTGCATTAAACATTCTTACCCACTTTCTCACCATTTCGTCACTTATCGCATATTCACCGTAAACTTCTGTCACTTGACGATAAATTTCGGCCGGTTTAACATTTCTCACATTCAAAAATTTAATCACGGCACGAATCTCACAGTCAGCGGGAGAACTAATTGTCTTAAACATTTTGAATTTGCACAGCAAACTAAAAACACAACTCTGAGCAATTAAAATGGCGGCAATTGAAAGTCAGTGAACAAGAAAGACTAGTGCGCATGCACGGGACACCTACCATAGCGGACGCCTACCACAGCGCTGCAACGGCGCTAGAATGAAACGGTACTTAGTTTCCAAATACGCTATGTAGTTCTTTATTCTCTTAATACCAGCAGCTGTTGATTCAGATTGCGTAATATCATGTAAGGAAGAATTACGGCGCACGTATTGTGCAATAATGTTTGCGATATTTTGCAGAGATAATTAATGTTGATGTTTTGTCCGAGATTTGTTTATGAACACTTAAAAGAGTTCTACTGTGCTTACTAAGCAAAATATTTTTCAGTTCCATTGGTTTATTTTTATATGATGCGCATATCGAAATGTCAAAAGCATTCAGCGGAAAAATTTAAAGAGCGGCTACAGTCTACCCCCCCCCTCCACTCCTCTTTTTCAAGTTACGCTCGAGCGTCCGAATATTCGCCAATTTACAAGTATGCAGGTTAGTTAAGCTTTGACTGTTAAAGGATGACTGCATGAAGAAAATTTCTGTCTTCTGATTTCAGAAATGTTCCTCTTTTTTACTTAAATTACTTTGCTTGCAATCTGTTAAGAGAAAACTGATATACAATGAAAATTTTAAAAATGTTCAGGATTTAGATTTAAATTATTTAAATATCAATATGAGTGGGAAAATAAATTGTATTTACTATTAATTTCCAAGCGAATACAATAAATATGCCTTATTATTATTTATTTTCTCTATTTTGAACTGAAATTTCATCATTAAATCTTGTAATATAGTTTAGTTCTGCATAGTTTTTTTTCCTCTCATTGTAAACTTGTTCTGTAAATTGAACTGTTATTTAAAATTTAAAAAAAAAAAAGTAATTATTTTCCATGGTTGAGGTAATGCTTATTCTTTCTTAATAAATACTGCATTTCTCATATTTTAAATTACAAGTATTAGGGCTATGCAGTTGTGTATAATGTAATTAGCACATGCTTATTTTTTTTCTTAAAATGTGCTTGAAAAGTGCTTATAGGTGCTTATTTTTTTAACTAAAATGTGGCTATGAACCCTGTTTTTCTTTGTTAGGTTGGAAACTTTTCAAACAGCCTATATATATACACATGTAAATATACAGGGCTGCACTTTTGAAATTAAAATATTTAACTGCATTATTTAAAAAAAAATATCTGATTAAAGACAAAAGATTAATAGCATGTGTAATAATCAAAATCGTAAAAAACAACCTTATATTTAGCGTAGGTATAATGAAACACTCAATCGATTTCGAGGCAGCTAAAGGTCCCTCCTCATCAGGAGAAAGAAATACATAGAAAGAAGAAAATAGGAGAAGGAGTCACAGAAACACGTAGTGCTTATCAGCACTGCACGTGGTTATAACTAGATTTTTAATCAGAGTTGCACTGGCCGCCTACTTTTACTGAGCCAGGCTTCGCTAATATTTTAACTTGGCTAATATTTCTTTTACTTCGCTAATATTTCTTTATGCTTGATCAGACAGCCTGGCTCAGTAAAAGTACTTTTAATCCAGTTTTGTGAATGTAATAGGCAGTATATTTAATTACATTTTGACACAAGTAGAACAAGTGAAACCCTTGCTCCATTGAAGAATTGAGTGGGTGCAAAATTAAATATGATAAATTGTTTATTGTTGTAAAAATAATAACGCTATTTAGGGGGAGCAATTTTTGTAACATGTGATCTGCTGGCATGGTTCTATTTTGAAAAATCATGTTTGTTTGCTTTATTTATTTATTTATTTATTTATTTTTATTTTTATTTTATTTATTTTTTTTTTTTTTTTTTGATAGAACACTTTTATCACCACTTTCATAAGAAAATTTTATAGTTTTGAATTTTTCTCTGAGTCTATCACTTAAAAATGATTACTTTTATTTTTTACTTTATTAACATATCATCTGCTGTAGAGAATTTTTATTTTGGGTTATATGAAATTCTTTATCTTCAATATAATTCCAAAGTTCCCACTTACTTGGAAAATCCTGAAAAGTCGAGGAAAGTGGTTCCTCCTCTTCTAGAATGTTTGGGAAGTGAGAGGGTTTCAAGATCAATGTTTAAACAGTTTAATTTTTTTATTAAATATTAACTAACAGACAAAAATTACCCTTCTTAAAGAGAAAACTATGAAGAGCTACATTAATCTTTATCTTAGTATTTTAATCACCGTGTATGCAATATAATTTTCTTAGCCCGTAACTTTCCTCACTATCTGTTAACGAGTTCTTCACTTCTTTTTGTAGAAATGCAGCTGTTCTAGCACTCTTATCTTAATATACTTATCATTAAAAAATAAATAATGTAATTTAAAAGTCATATAATGATGTTGTGTGCTAACAACTCTAGTAATTAAACACTTTTTTCTCCAATCTGATATAATTCTCAGCTCCTGCATTTTATTTAGCAGTATGAGGTACAGTTATAAATTCCTTCTATGGAATGAATATTTTTTCCTAAATTTGATATATTTTATAAACCATATCTACTTTTCTGAATGGCTTAGGTGTATATTTCCTACATATATATATATATTTTACGATGATGAAAGAGATATTTTTTTTTCCTTTCTTTTTTTTTTTTTTTTTTTAAATTTAATTTTATTGTTCTCTATTGTAAACACATGCGATTATTTCTAATTTCTAATTCTTAAATTTTTAATTCATCATGTTTGGTCAGAGAAGTTAAATGTTGAATTAGAATCCAGAATTCTAAATATATAGAGAGGATTAGAATCTATATTTTTAGATTTATGAATTAATGGTCAGGAGTGAAATTTTTTCTATTCATTGTTTTTAAACGTTCAGACTTATTAGAATAAGGATAAGTGTCCAAGTTATAGTTTGGTCTTAAAATTATACATGAAAGTGTATGATTTTCTTTTATCTCTCGTTATTACAATTTAAAAACTAGGTAGATCGATTATTTTGCTTTTAATGTATGTACTGGGCACCCAATATTTCAATCCTATTTACATTGTCTTCACTTATATTTTTGTTCTACTGTAGTTAAACATGAAGTCTAATTACAGTAGAACAAAAATAAATGCTTTGTAAAATAATAGTCTATACTTCTGAAATAAAGCATGCTTTTTATTTATTTTTTATAACTTGGAAAATTAGGAATGGGAAAATCATACTATTATTTACAACCATCTGCGTATTCTATTCTTTGGATGAAATTTCTTATGATTTTATATTTTGAATAATGCATTTTAATTTGTTCAACTTTCTATGCACATTCAAAAAAGATAGAAATTTTTTAAATAATGAGATTTCAAGAGGAGGCATTGTGATATGCATCTGCCATATTTGAGATATTTCTTAGGCTGTATTCGTAGTGTTTTTGTGTCTCACGGTTGGAAAATATAACATGAAACTTTTGATATCCTGTATTTATTAGGTACAGCATTATATCCTAGTTAATTCCTTTATCATGGTGATAATAATTACAGAGAACTAAATTATAATTTCAATCCTTAAAGTAATCTGTAAAATGATTTTAACTAAAGTGTTTTTAAAATAATATAGTGATTGATGAAAGTGACCTTGCTGTATCTACACCCCATATACCAACCTATGCTCAACATATGGATTCTAAGACTTTAGAAAAGTTGTCTGAACGAAGTTATTGTAAAGATTTTCAAAGATTAGGCCTTGGAGTCCTAAATGGTGGAAATAACAAGAGTAAAGCTGAAGGCTTTAGAATCTCATCTATTAACAGTACATATTCTGTTAGTCGCAGGTAACATCTAATTTTTTGAATATATTAGAATTAGTTGTGGATCATGAAATATTTATGTATCTATATTTATGATATTTATAAATGTATATATTATATATCATTTTAATGAATTTAATGAAATTTTTCAACTGAATATTCTCTGATAATACATTTAATATAATTTTTACCCAGTTTTTTTCCATCACAGCATATCAATTTTAAAGTAGAAGATTGTGAAATGAATTGCTAGTCATTTACAGTACAGTCAAAAGTCTTTAATCCGAATGTCCATAATCTGTAATGATCTATAATGCGGACCTCAAAGCTACAAACTTTCTGCACATGCATCAACGCATAATACGTTAACGCATGCGCGTTTAATGTATAACGGACGGTATAAGCTAAGCTAAAATTATCTTATTTATGTATTTCAGTTAATGTTGCAAATTGTGTTGTTCTTTAATCTTCTAATTGGATCCGGCTTATTATTTTTTGCAGACTGTTAGAGCAATTTTAAAAAAATGTATGCTTTGCGCATGCGCGTGTTAAAAGAAATGTTAATAAAGTAAACAAATAAATATAAAGTGTTTTTTAATTATTATTATTTTATTATTATTTTTTTAATTTTTTTTAAAAATTTTGACACCCTTTAGATCATAATTGCTCTTTATTTCATAAATTACGGTTTTTATATTTTTAATTTTATAATTCTGCATGCCATCTTAGCAGATTTAAACTGATGATCTATAATCTGAAAAAACTGATAATCTGGAATCGCCAAAGTCCCGACGAGTCCGTATTAAAGACTTTTGATTTTATTTGAAACTATTAATGAACAAATTGAATTGCATTGAGATTTGGCTTTTTTAATTACTATATATACTCAAAAATAAGCATCCTCCTCTCCCTTAAAATTTGGGAGGATTTTACATACAGATACTTTGGTAAATGAAATAAAAGAAGAGGAAGAAGGAATTTAATTATCATTAAGTAAACCATGCAGATACAGTACATGTAAATTGTGTTAGCTACTACTTATTGTAGCAGCCATATCTACCTGCAAAGTCTGCATATACTACTCTGGTCACTAAAATGCCTAAAAAATAGATAGATAACAATGATCTTGGGCGACAGCTACAGATTCAACCATTTCAAGGAAATTTAGAAGGAGGGAAAAAATAAAATTCCCATGATTACAGCAAGACAAAAAAATTATTATCTTGAATTGTAAAGAGGATCTTATGTTTGAAGGGGTCTTATTTTTGAATAAGTATATTACTTGTATTATTTCACTGCATTTTAGATTTTTATTACGTAATTTATAAAGCACAAAATTTCATAAAGTTGTGTGATTAATTTTGCTGTAAGATTCATTTAAGTTCCATCTGTAAGTGACACTACTCAGTCATTGACAGTTTTTGTTTTATGCGCAGTTGTTTTTTGTGTTCTTTTCCTTCCTTTTTTGGGGAGAGGGGGGATTGTTACGTACATAAAAATTGCTATGAAACTCTTTTGTTATGTTTTGATTTTCAACATTAGAGAAGTTCCTGATTCTTGAATTCTTGGCATTTAGCACATTTAGCATTGTCATATTATTTTAAAGGCTTATTAATCAAATTATTTATTTTCTTGTTATCTGAATTATGTGTTTTGCAGAGAATTGCATAAATTTAATGTATGCATTTATATTGAAATATTAACAATCTGTCAAGCAGAGAACACAATATATTAATCCTGAAGGTTCATTTTGTAATTTGAACTTGTAAAAATCATGTTATAATATTGAACTTTGTAGAAATCATGTTATAAAATTAAGGGTAATTATTAATGAATTTCATAGAGAGGTATTATTTTTCTCAACTTACTTTCCATCTTTTAACCCTATGAGCACCATGGCCGGCTTTATCTGGTCATGAGATTTTTGCCTCTTAATATATATTAGCTTATAATTTATAACATTTTGCTTACTATATATAATAAGATAAATATATATAATATATAAATGTAATGATATAAATGTCATCTTAATAAATGTAAGTTTATGAAAATAGAGACCAAAATAAGTAAATATAAAAATTAGCTAATAAAAGCTGTTTGAATACAGGTCTTCATGATGATTGAAATAGTTTATGTAATTCATTAATTCAATTATGGTTTAATCCATGAGTCTTTTTATTTTTCATCGGTTCAGTTTTAGCTGTCGTAAAAACCAGGCATACGTATTTTGTTGTATGTAATATTTAAAATTAAATTGATTTATATTTATTCTAAGTAAGTTGATAAGTTTTGTGAGGTGCATCATAGTTTTTGCTTTTGAAGTGTTAAGTAATTTTTAATATTCCAGTATTCTTTATATCCAAAAGGTCTTTAATCTCTTTGAAAAACTTTTAGAAAAAAAAGGGGGGATGTATAAGTCAATTAATTGTTAATATGACATTTAAACAAATTGTTAGTAACATTAAAATTTAAAGCACAGTAGCTTAGCAGATAACAGTTAAAATTTCATTTTATATATTCGATAACTGGGTCATATATAGCCCTATTAAATTCTAGGTTTGAAGTTGATGGTTTAAAAGTGGGTTGACTGTTATTATGTGAAAGACATGCATTATTATATGTCATATTTAGCTTTAAGAGATTAGAAAAATAATCTTTAAGAAAATTTCTACTGAATTTTATTTTGATGCAAAATTTTCTTGAAATTCAACTTTATATAGTCTTCATTTTCCTGCAGAAATTCAATAATAACATTTGAAGGTGTAGTTTCATGCTTTCACCCATTTTTGACCAATAAGAACTGTCAACAAATAGTGCAATCTAGTGTCAGTAGTGGATAAGTTTGATGTCACAATGCACTCATAAGACTTTAGCTTGTTTTGCTGTAATCCTGATTAATCCTCAATAAGCCAGCGTAGTTCTGCTAGCAAAGGATTTAAGTTAACTATTATATATGTTTTCCCTTTGCATTTTATGAAAAATGTTTAAAATTTGGGGCAGAACAGTATGTAATGCTGTAATGGGAGCTTGACATAAATAAGTATGCTTTAATGGGCATGATTCGGGTCTTTATTAAAAAACAGATGAGTTTTGATAATGTACCATAAAAAACTGTGACAAGCAAATAGCCATTCAAAAGTGGATCTGGGGAAGGGTTCCAAAATTACATGTTGTTTTTGTAATTTGGGTCTGTTGCTTCTCAACTAAATAAAAACTGATCTATTCCTTCAAATTCTGCCAGTCTGATCAGTACAAGTTTGGCAGGATCTCTGCTAACTTTCTTTTTTGATGGGAAAATGCTGAAGTACTCTTGAAGGATATTATTAGAGTACAGGCAGATATGTACCAATATACTGTTATGAAGTCATAAATTGGTAACATTTTGTAAAACAAACATCTTAACATGTTGTAATATGCTCAAGATACATTTGCTAGTCTTGAAACTGCAAACCCATTTCTCTGTAATGTTCTTTTTCTTCTATCTATTTTTTATGATTAATTGAAAAGAGGTGCCTAAAATATGAAAATGAAAGAAAAATGGCCTTTGAAAAGAAGCACAATTGTTATGTGAAAATAATATTACAAATAGGCCAGGTAATAATATTGAACCTTTAAAATAGGTCTTTGGCAAATATTTTGTTCTCTTGGAAATGTTAATAATCTGCATTGATGTGCAAATGAACAAAGAGGTTTGAGACTTTTGTAAGTGCTGTATGCAGTTATGGAAAGCTTTGTTCTCATTTATTGTTCTTTACTTCAACCTTAAATAAAATTTGAAGAAAATATAATAATAAAGTTTTTATTAGTATTTTAATCTCATGTCATTATTTAAGCACGTAAAGCAAGCTTCAGTCCACTTTGAAATCAGGAGTCAATACGTGTAATAAAGTAATGGCCTGTAAGCATTCTATCAAATCCCAGAGCAAGAAAACGCTATCTAACTGTGTCAAGATTATTTTCCTGCAGTACTTAATTGAAACATCTTGGTATTTTTCATTTTTATAAATTAAACTAAATATAGAATTCTAAAAGTATTTGAATAATGTACTTTGAAAGGTTATGTTTTCGATCTAAAACTTTATCAAGCTTGTAAGAAATCATTTGAATTATCAATAGAATAAGTAAATACAATAGATAAATTTAAAGTCACTTATGCATATTAAGTGACTATACATATAAAATTACATGTACAAATTATTACATATATAATCTGTACATGTAATTTTTGATGATGTGTACTGCTTTTTACCAGAAGCAAATTAGAAGTTTTCTGGTATGAATATTTGATCAAGATATTAATTAACTGTATTAAGAACAAAATTTGCTGATGTAATGTAGTTTTGATTAATTTTTAAAAAAGGTCTTAAATGGTGCTAAATATTTCTTTATTAATAATGAAAATTTCTGAAGTAGTTTAACCCTTTGCGACACGCATATTTAAAATATATTTTAATCTTTAAAAAAATGTCTTAGAATAAGTCAGATGGACTTACTTAAGTGCCTTTCAGGCTTGAAAAAAATTCTGCGCTTTTATTTTTTACGGGGGAAGGTGGGATACCGTTTGTCCCACCATGCAACTAGCACATGTCTTATAGCATATTGGTGTATAGCAGGAAAAACAAATCGTATGTGGAATGAATAAACAAAATAAAGCATGCTTTCTAAAATATTGATAATAAATACATTAAAATGCATTTTGTACAATATATTTAATAATTTTTAATTTTAGGAACAAAAGAAAATATTTTCTTGGATATTATTTTAAGATTAAAATTTGATACTCGTACATATGATACTAAATAAAATATTAAAATTGACACTTGATTCAAAATCATTTTATATATGATTAAAATTGAAAAAGTCATTTTTCATGAAACTTTGAAAAACATGTTGTTTCATTCTTTTGTAAGCATAGAGGCACTTCACATGTTTCACACATCCAAAATGTTCGTCGTTCTTCTTTCGATGTGCTGCAATATGCACATCTTCTCCTGCTCGTTCTCTTTGGCACGTGACTTACATTTTTTAGTCTCTTTTCTGATTGTACGAACGGTTTTTTAGTTTTTATTTGAACTGGGGATTTCAGTTTTCTTTTCAGCTCTTTCTTGCCTGCTAGTGCTATTAGACCTTCTATAACTGAGAGACAAAAATCTTTCATTGTTTTTACATCATGATCACTTTCGCGAACAAACTTAAATAGAATAAATGCGTTTACTATACTCGCATCTAAAAAGTAAAAAAAGATCCTGTGCCACCATTTCTTGCTTTTGCGGTCTATTTCATATAATCCTTTCAGTTGATCAAATAAGTCGACATATCCCATATTCTTATTATATGAAATAATGCTGTCTGGGCACAGTACTTTTTTTGTTTTTTTTGTTTTTCCATCTCGTTCTTTTCTATTAATTTCTTTCATTTCAGTTGCCTTTTCCAAGCAAGACAGGATAGAAACGGATCTTTTATCCTTCCATTTTATGCAATAAATTGAATCATCGCTAACTGAAAAGTCTATATCTCCTCTCGACATAAATTTGTCTTCTTTTAAATTTTTGGGTAGATACTTCCGATTCATATTTACAGTGCCACATGCATAGATGTTCTGTGTCTTTAAAAAGCGAAACAAATTATAACTACTGAAGTAGTTGTCCATAAAAACTCTATGGTTATTACCATAAAGAGGCTGGCACAAAGTTTTCACTACTCTCTCCCCTAGATTTTTTTCCACAGAGTCACCGAGTTTGCCAGTATAAATTTCAAATTGGCATGCAAATCCAGTGACATCACATCGCATCCATACTTTGTAACCGCGTTTGATGGGTTTTTTAGGCATATACTGCTTTAGGCTGCTTCTCCCTTTGAAGCGAATCATTGATTCATCAACTGCCTGAGTTTCATTAGGATTAAAAACTGCCATAAACCTTTCTGAGAGATGATTTAAAAGAGGACGTATTTTGTATAGCTTATCAAAATTAGCTTCCCCTCTCTTAGGTTGTAAACAATTATCATTTATATGAAAATTTCCCAATATCCAACTAAACCTGTTGACAGGCATTATGTTTGCTATATAATCACCGTGTAATAGTGCAGTACTTCTCCAGTAGTCCCGATAACTTGGAAACTTTTTTACGCCCATTAGCAAATTTACAGCGAGAAATCGCAAAAACTCGTTACTATCAAGAGGGGAAAATACACTGTTTTTCTGTGTTGCATATAAGTTTGATTGAAAAACAATATGTTCAATGAACTTAAGTGTGAATATACTTAAAAATAAATTTACAGGTGTTGGATCATCCAAATCAAAAATCTCACCTGTCGGTCCCGAATCTTCTTTGAATTCTGGCAGTGAAATATCAACTTCTTGTTTGTTCCAGCACGGAACAGAAGATTCTGAGGGTTCTGTAAATTCAGCCTCGTTCTCACAGGTATCCCTTTCTTCTTCAGCAATAACTTCAACCTCAGTTATTCTCTCCTGGATTTCAATTTCATCTGAATCAGAACTGACATCTGAAGCATTTGAGTCGCAATCGGATGGCAATTCAGCAAAAAGATCCAAAGCTTCCTGAGTTGTTAATTTTTTTCTAGACATTTTAGCACATCAGAGCAAACAAAGGATGTAAAAGCGTGCGCAATCACGAAAAAAGTAGATGCAAAAAAGAAAAAGAAAAAAATAATCTTGAGTGCTGCCATCTATTGAGCAGAAATTCAAGTGTGTGGTGGGACAAATTTTAACCCACTTATTTCAACTGCAAAATTAATCTACTATAAAAATATTCAATCCAATTAAGATTGTTTGAAAATAAAATACCTTTGAACATTAAAAACAATCATAGATATCCTAAATTGTATACCAAACTTTTTAAAATATTGAAAAATGCGAGATACCTGCATATCACTCTTGTGATCCTATTTTGAATATTTTTTGCTTATAAACTTAAGCCCTGGTATGGTAGTGACATCTACTGAGAAAACTAATAACTAAAATCGATTACTTTTAAAAGATTAGAAAATTTCTAATGGGATTGCTAACTGAGAAAAAAAATATTAATTAGGTGGGACAGATATTGACCCACCATGCCGCAAAGGTTAAGTATCGTAGTTTGTATTGCTGTTTAACAGTTGCTATTAACTGACAAGATCAAAATGGTGGGTTTTTACATTTCCTTAATGAAATATGAAATAAATAAATAAAAGTCCAGTTAATGATTTAATGCTAATGATGTTTTATTCAGAATTATCGTTAACAACCTAAAGAAGCAACTTCTTTTTCACGTATATTTGGTAAATTTGAATTCAAGTCGTAAACAAACATACACACACACCAAAAAAAAAAAAAAAAAAAGTCATGTAAACTTGTTCTCAAATATATCCACAACTTTTACATTTAAAGGTATGAATTTTTTTAGACCTAATTACAGTAATATTTTACTAACAATCATCTGATACATTTTGAAACTAAGATGGAATAATTACATATTCTTGTATTTGTTTCTTTTAAAATATTTTAATTTTTACTAATCACAAAAAATGTTCATTATTTATTTGCCTTAAAATCTAATTTATTGTTCTTATGCTACAAATAAATGATAATAAATGAAGCCAGAAATGGTATTATTTCATCCTAATACTAGTATGGATTTTACATGAGCGTACTAACATTAGTTTTGCTTCTGAGCTGTAGTTATACATAAATAAATAGTATTACTGTCACTAAATTAAATGCTTGATATTTCCTGATTAGGTGAAGGTGACTAATGATGATCATCAATATCTTTGAATGAATTCATTACATTAATTTTTTTTTTTAATCTTGCATAATTTGTGGAAGGCTGAAACCACATTTAATATTTTTACAAGTATGCCTCTAGCAAAGAAATTACTGGTCAAGAAAATTCCTCTTGAAACTTTATGTGCAAATAGTAAAGAACTGCTAAGAGTACAAAACTACAAGAACAACAGCATATTATTTCTCCTCTTAGCTGCAGAAACTTATCTCACTGAGAAGCATATACCTGAAACTATATCATAATTATAACAAAGGTAACTTCAGAGTGAATATCATTGACCATTTGGCTCACAAATACAATGCAAAAGTAACACCTAAAAAGTCCCCTTACAAGTTTTAGATAGCATTTCCCTTAAGCAGCAATGAGCACATGGATTTTGTATAAGGAAGATAGAAGAATTAATATTACTAAAAGACAATTTTTTTTTAAATCTGGTTTAAGAACACATATGATGTACATAATATGACCAAAACAGAATGAATTCTGGTCTTGGAATGCCAAAAGCATGTTTGTATGGAAATATATCATATCATACCATGCTTTGAAAGTGTGTGTTTAATATGAGATACATCTTTTAAAAAAAGTGTTTTTTTTTAAATTATTTTCAAACTATTTTAATGTTGACTATTAAGAAATCTGTTTTTATATATTCTCAAATTAAATTATTTAATGCAGGAAATATAGTTTTATTCATTTAAAATTTTTCTTTACAAATATTTGTACATGAAGCCACATTTTAAAAAATGCTCAACTGATGAATATTAGATGGATATAAGTAGATATATTTAACATTTGTAGTTTTAAAAATTAGGCATAATAATATTGATTGAATTCTTTTTTGCTTATTTTGTTATTTGAAGCTCCTATGCCTGAAGTTCATTAAGAACGTGTTATTAATTTAGAATAGTTTGTTTCTGTTACAGTGATGCCTTGGTTTGTGAGCAGAATTCGTTCTGGAAATGTGTTTTTGATTAATGTAGTTTATACATTGATACAAATTTACCCACAGGGAATAATGGAAACAAAGATAAGTCACTCCACAGTCCAATAATATTCACATAAAAATTAATACAAAATATTAATTAAAAATTTGTATAACAAATTAACCTTTGTTTTTTATCTTTGAAAAGAACCGTGAACTAATGGAATAATGGTATTTGTTTTCTCATTGAAATTTTTTTCTTTTTGTGCAACTTAAGCAAGAAAACTATGCAAATACCAGTTACTTCTGATTTCTTTTAAGGATTTTGTGGAAATGTGTCATTGCATTTTTAGCATTCTAACTTATGATGTTGCAGTCATATTCAGTTTTCTGGTGTTTTCAATGAAATTTTGTATTTCTTCGATATTTTGTATTGATTCCTGATCTTGTTTAAGTGAGGAACTTCTTCATCTTTTTCTCCTTCTCATCAGATAAGACGTCCATTAATTGGCACTGTTGCATGCAATGCAAGTTCATCATTGTTCAGCTGCTAATCATGTTCTTCCAACTCTTGAATGTTGTCCTCACTTCCAGCTAGTCTTCCCGATGGATATAGTTTCATCATCAGGTAGCAGCTCTTGGTCATGATTAAGCCTCTAAAGTCATATCCAAGAATATAATCAAACCACAGTTTTTCTGTAATAAGAATTGAAGTTACTTTTAATGATCTCATCCTAGGTTTTATGAATGGTCATAAAACTATTCACAATATAAGAAGGATTTTACCAAACCTCTCAGTGTGCAAGGTTTATTCCTTCTATCACTCAAAGCTTTGCTGAAATTGTGCTTTGATATAAAGCTTTCTAAATTTTAAAATGGCATGCTAATCTGTAGGTTAGAATAGTGGAGTAATGTTAGAAGTAAGAATTGTGATTATAGTAAACTTGAAATCCTGCTGTGAGTCATCCTTTCAAATCCTGAAGGATGTGTAGGTTAAGTTAGGTTAGGTTATTTGGATATGGCAAAGCATATGAGGGCTATCTGCCTTGGGGGGATGACTTTGTGGAGGGTTTGCTAAGGGAAACTGATTCATATTCATATTACCCATGAGAAAAAATGACCATTCAGTTAGCCATTTGCCTGGGATCAAACCCAGGTCAAACTCTCACTATTCAGTGGTTTTAATAACTTGCCTACTGGTGAGTGGAGGGTATGTGGGGATTATCCATAATAGCAGATTCCCTTCAAAAAGGCGTTTCATCTTTGCAGGACTGAAGATCTCATTGATCCTCTCAACAAACAGTATACAAGTCACTGAAATACTGCTCTTAGACTTCCACATAATGTGCTCATTCTGTATGTTGCATTTTGAAGGCCTGTCGATTCTCATAATGGTATACGTTGAAATCCCTGTTTGTATTACTACATTACAATAGGGTGAGATAGTTTTATGTGGATTTGTGATTGGGCATAGCTTTCTCTTCTGCTATAATGTGGGTCCTCTGTGGCATTTTTTTAAGTCCCATCTCATTGCAGTTAAAACTTGCTGCAGCATATACAATGTGGAAATCATGTACTTCTGGAACTCAGCAGCAAACACTTTGCCTTCTTTCTTCACATCTGAACTTTGAGCCTCTATATGCCTCACAACATTATGGATATCGCTTCTCATAAAAGCAGTAAACCATTCCTTCATGCTTGCTTTGGTATTTTCTATGTTACAGTACAATTATTAAAAAGCATCGCTATGTAAGGTGTATTTACTAACGTGTTTTGTTTTTCTATCCTGCACTTGCACTATGTCTTGTGCTTTTATCAGAATTTCTAAATAAGAGTTTTAATTAGAATAAGACTCTTAAGTTAAGAAAAGAAAAATTGGCATCGTTCTTATCTTTAACTCCTTTAAGCAACTCCTCTGGCAGTATATCTCAAGTAGGCAATAATTCTTTGATCTGAAGTTGCTCATTGATGTTATGTATTAGAAATTTTGTGAAATCTGCTAAGCCAGGTACTAGAATAGAATATAAGTGCACTTTGTACATAGTTTAAATTTACTAGTTGTCTATTATCACCAAAAGCAGAAGAAGTAATTCTCTGTAAAATTTGTTTTGTATTTTGAATTCCACAATAAAGTTTAGATAATTTATTTTATTCTTCTCTTGCACTCACTGAACATTCTGAGATTGCATTAGAGGCCAAGATGAAAATTCGTCTGCTCAGAGTTTAATTGTAGTATAAGGAAAAGTAAAGTCATTGGCCATAAAACATAAAAAACAAAAATGTTTGTACACTTATACATGATCACATGCTATAATAAACAATGTGTACTTGTATGGAGGTTGATTAAATGAGGCACGGTGATTTCTATATAGTCATATAAGACAAATCTTTTGATGCTTAACAAACGTAAATAAATACATTACTTGTATTGCACGACCTAACTTACCTGTCTATTTAAAATTTATTAAAAATTTTGCTCGTCTTGCAAAATACTTGCAGATCCGGTTACTCACAACCCAAGTTTTTATTATCCCAAAGGGGGTTAGCCCAGAAGGGCTATTAATTTCATTTTGGCATTTTGCATTGATTCACTATAAATGTCTGTTCTCTTTTCAAATTGTTGCCACCAAATATTAGAGCCCTGTATTATACATATTTAAAGAAATGAAATAATGGAAGAATCTGCATAAATGTATGTATGTTTCTTGCATTGTGATAAAACAACAATACCTAGAGCCATCAAATTTTGAATAATGTGTGTTTCCACCCGAATATGGTCATCTAGAAGCCCAAATTTGGAATTTGTTTTATATTTTGTAAAACTTAAACAAATTTTTGATTAAGAAAATCAAAGATTTCAAAGTGAGCAATAACAACACTGTACGTAAAAAAAAAAAAAAAAAAAAAAA